ATTTATAATATAATTTATAAAAAAACAAAAAATAAAAGTATATCCAAGAAAATACAAAGAAAATATGTTTAGTTAATAAAAGAAATAAAAACGAAGATAGAATATAAGTAATTTTTAAGAAGGCAACACAGGCAATATGTAGTTATTGCAGTTTTATATCAACAAAAAATTTGTTAATTATAATGTTCTTGTGCATGCTATCTTACTTTTGTGTAGTAATCATGACTATAGTACATTTTACAGGGACTCACCAGTCATCCTTCCCATAGGTTGGATAACTATACAAAAAAATCATACGTTGTATGTACAAATGCAAAAAGCTATAGTGCAGGTTTTCCACATAATAAATAATAATTTTTTGCAGATAAAATATAATTATATGCTATCAAATAAATAAAATGTTCCCTTAAATTTGACACTGCATGCTCATTTTACTCTAGTATACACTGTATTGAATCACTTTGTAAATAAAACTTTGAAATTTTAATATGCATTTATAAACTATATACAACATGAGTAATAAATATAATGAAAATTTGTTAGACTAAATGATACATCTACTAAATGAGTGAATTTGTATTTAATTAATGATTAAATTCATCTAATATAAAATACTCTGAATAATACATTTAAAAAAATGAATAATAATTAATTGTCAAATGAAAAACAATATTTCATACATATAGATTTGAGCAAAATATTTTATAGGGTGCTTTTAACACTGAACTCACATCTAATATATAATTTACTGTTGTCAATCACTAAACTGAAAGCAAGCATAAAGAATTGATGATGCTGTGTAAGATAAGAGGAAATGCTTGACATGAAAAATGAAAAAATAATTGCCCTGAATGTTCTAAACCTTCATTTTAAAAAAAAACATACATAGATATACATCAAAAAATATAGATTTCAAAAAGACTTTTTATCACTTACCCAAGATTAGGTTGACTGGAATGGACCGTTGCTCTGACAAGAGGGGGTGGTTGAGCTTGAGCAACACTCTGCATAGTTGTAACTGGATATACTCCAGGATACTGAACTGTTGCAGTGCCACCACCCCCTCTACTCCTACTAGGTTGTTGTGAATAATTTTTTGGTGGTGTGGGTATTTGCTGCAATGAAAAATACCTTACATAAATGAACTTGTAATGCAAAATAAAAAATTGTATTCAAGACTTCTTTGTAGAATTTTATAGTAAACAAAATAGGGTGGTGAAAAACTTGTTAGAATGTTGCTATAATATAATGTTCTAGTAATAAGTTATAAAAAATCAAGCTTGCAATAGAGATTTGACAAATTATCTGTACATTAGCAGACTACAACTCAACTTTCTTTTAAACAGATATTGTAAAATAAATAATTATCTAAAGCTATCTAAAAATAAAATCTTTCTACTAAAATGTTATCATATACAGAAATATCTTTACATACATTTAAACAACAAAAATAAAAAGGGAACAACTTTTGAAAGTAACTTACATTGTGCATGTTTAAGGAGGAGGACATTCGTATAATAGAACTAGGCTGAGAAACAAGTGCTGTTTGAAACGTGGGTTGACCACCGACGAGTCCCGTCCAACCGTTAACACTTTGCACAGTGCTCAACATCGGTTGTGTGACGATGTTTGACCTGCCGGAGGAAAGTGCCGTTGGTGAAGTATGTGCGGGATGGGTAGTTGCACCGGGCCTGGGTTGGCTCACACGTTGTTGCACTTGCGGCGTATTTGGGACCGTTCCACGTGGTAGTATATTATGCATAGGAGCAGTAGCACGTGCATTAACCGTCGGTTTGTTCACAGTGCTATTTTGCACGGGAACGGGTTTCGTCGCTGGCGGTGTTGGAGGTTGTTTTGTCCAAACACCACCACTACCACCACCTTTGCTATTCACTAATAACTGGGAGTCCATCACTTTAGTCGGCCAATAGTCTTCGAATCCCGTATCGGGGGGGAAATAACTTTTAATGTCATTCAAACTAATCACTGAGCATGTCTCACTTGCAAACAGTTCATTACGAATACCCTGTACTTTGCAACAAAATTTCAAATACGACAAGTCCCAACCTTCCAGCTTCTCCGCTTTCAACTTCAGATTCTCGGTCTCACCCTCAAAGTAAAACAGAGGGACGTATTGTAAACCGTCCTTTACCGTATAAGGAACCACTGATTCCTTGTTTATTCGAATAAATCCACATTTGTCGGCTTTATGTCCATTAGACACGTTAGGATTCGTGCCTGCCGTTAACTTCGTGTAACACACGTCCAAAAACGTATAGAACTCCTTCGCATCCGACAGTCGTACCACTAAGTCTTTACACGTAAATTGTTCCCTTCCGAACTGATTCTCGCAATGTTTCACATTTATCTCGGTGAACAACTTACTCTCCGCTTCCGTAATATAGTAACTTCTTATACACGTACAACTGTAGATGTCCGAGTGTAGGTAACTCAGGTACTTGTTCAGTAACTTAGATTCTAAGATTCGTACTGCGCAATACTTTTCGCCAGAGCGAAATATATACGGTATGTGACAGTCGTCGAAGCTTGTCCATCCGAATCGGCCTCTTTGACTCTCGTCGTCGGGCGGTACTTTGCCTTCCGCGGGAACGGGTTTCATCGACGCAGCAGTTGACGAATCTGCCGGCCGTTTATTCAAATATCCTAAAATACCAGGAAGATTTGATTGCGGTAGGAGACACTGTGGAGGCCTTTGCTGTGCTGGTGCCCCTGGTACCCCGCTGACCATTTTCGCTTTGTTTGCTTCCACCATTTTGGCAGCCAATTCTCGGATTTCCGCTTCATCAGGAAGTTCTTGTTTGACGACGACTTTATCAAAACCTAAAAAAGACAAAAGGTGTTTTTATTAATTCCAATGGAAGTAATAAGTTATAAGATGGACATTAAGCTTTAATACCCACATACGTTTCACGGTAATGAAAAAAGAAGATTTTCAATGAATCATGATTACCTGCAATTTCATAGGTAAACATATACAGTCTTAGATAAGAAATATTTGCATGTGTATGTAATAGCTGAATTACTCTTCGAAGCACTATTCTTCATTTTTATGTTATTTGCAATTATAGAGAAGTAAAAAAAGAAAGAAGGAAATAGAACAGAAATGAAACATTAAATTAGATTCCCTATATTTTTTCTTTGTAAACGAATTTGCGAGGTTAATATT